TTTCTGCCACAATGTTTACACCACTCTTGGAGAAATTATTCTAGAAATTTTTATATAATTTATAATTTAATAGTTTTTGGATTTTGATAAATCATGATCTATCCACACATCCTCAATGTCTCCGCAATCGTCCAAGTTGCACCAGCTCGACACTTCTCTATTCACCTCATTCAGCCCATCATCCTTCGGCGTCTGCTAATCTGCAGTCGGCCTCTAGTTAGCGGTACGAGGGGCGGACCGGGGGCGGTACTGGAGGCGGCACTGGGGGCGGTCATCATCATTATCTAATGTTACACCTGACAGTTCGTGATAATTGTCAATCCACTTAACACGTTCATGGAACACCAGTGGAAGAGGTTCTGACATGGAATTACAGTACCAGGTGTGCTGAGTGAAGGGGAGTCAAAACTTCCTGGGATTGCATGTCGCAATATGCTGATAGTTCAAACCCAATTATTAAACTCTAAATTTATCAAAATATACACCTTAGTAGCTAAGTAAGATTTACCTTCAATAGTTTGTTTTCTATAAATGCCACTTATTTTGATAAGCCTTAATTTTAACACTGTATTGTTAATGTGGTAACTCTGTTAATCAACTTAAATGATTGAAATCGATGTTAGTGGCCACAGTGTTTGTGGCTCGTAATTTTGTAAACATTTTACCGCATGTATTTCAATCAGAACCGGTTTACTTTTTCCAAGAATCACTTTTTCGTTTTTATGGGAAAATAAAATAAGTTGCAATAACTTTTGAACCGTATTTTTTACAAGAGGGGGGGTTGCACTATGTTGTTAAGAGTTATAAAGACCATCACATACTATTTTCAATAAAAACCGGCTTTTTTTTAAATACGATTTTCTCTTATTTTAAGGGTTTTTTAAATGGGAGAATAACATAAGTTACGATAACGTTTGAGCCATAACTTTTACAGGAATGGAAGTTCTACCATTTTGTTCAAAATTTAAAGTACTACAACATAGGCCTACTTCATCTTTATCAAAATCGTTTTGGCCATTTTTGAGATAGTTTGATTTTATCGTTATTTTATGGGTTTTTGTGGTGAAATCCAGAGTAAAAATCAAAGTTTCCAAGAAATAAAAAAAAACACCTGGAGATACGGAATAGTACCACATAAAATTTTATAAAAATATGACTACATGTGTGGTCTGTAGCTCTGTAAACATCCACTTATACTGACACACACACACAAACGGACATACATCACTTCGAAAACAACTTATTTGGATCACGGGAGCCCAAAACAGATATGTCCACCCCTAAACTTAAAACTTAAAACGAAAACAATACTTTATCCACATTATAGGGGGAGCAAGTAAAAACATTAAACAACTCGGCCTAAACAGAAACCCAACCCTAATCATGATCCGATTTCTCAAGTCAGTGGGGCAGCGGCTGCTAGTTCCTACATATTACCATAGTCACGACCCCCTATCTGTATTGTCTCCTTAATTATGGGCATAACTTCATTGCGTACATCGGCAAGACTCGGGCGCATCTCATGTTTAGCCTTGTTAGTGATCTAGTCATAAACTTCTAGCTATCTCCGAGCTAGCCGTGGTTGTTTACCAGCTAATTGAGATAACTCCACTATCGAACATCATTTTTTCATTACTCTAATGGTTAAGTGAAATGCTAATTGGATTTGGTAACTTGTAATTGGCCATTTGAGCAAATTAAGTGGTAGTTTATTGTCTGTAACTGTAATTAATTGATTTGATGGAATCTGTTGTTGATTACCCATCCATTTAGATGAATCTAGACAATATCCTAAAAGGTAAGATGAAAAAATTTACTATTAGGGTTTTTGTTACTGTGTTAGTCTGATGTTATTTTTTCATATACAACTTTAGTGGTGTGGATTAACGTCCGCACTAGTGAGTGGTACGACTATCCGCAGTACTATCCTGAAAACTAAACCAATTTGTATATACCAAGGCAAAAATGTGGTTTGGATTCCACTATAATCTGTAGGTCCCTTAGTTGCCATTAGCTGTATGGACTACTAACTAACAGCTGTGTCTAAGGAATAAGTCGGCCTTAGTCACTAACAAGACTACAAGATCTCGCCACTCATCCTACACTCATCTCCACTCAAACTTAAAATACTTACTTTGTATGGTCACCATTTCATTGAAAAGTATTAAAGTATCAACTTGCTTTTGTGTATTTTTTCTGGTGAAGAGTAGGTTTCTTAAATGGGGGTAAAAGTATTTTACAATCTAGCAATCAAATCAATTCGTCATAAACAAAAAAAAATCATTCAAACCCTCAATATCAGAATGTGTAGCAAAACTATTTACATAGAAGGATTTGTTAACACTTTACAATAAAACACACAAAGTCACTATAAAACATAATTCATCAAAGTGCATCTGAAATAACTTTCGCAAGCCTAATCAAGAACACAGAAAGGTTAACAGATTTCGACCGGCCCTATAAATCCCCAGGTCGAAACGACATATCACCGAAACTCGCATAACTCCGATCCCAAAACATTAACACGTCCGTTATCTCTTATCAGGTGGCTGGAAAATAAATCGCTCTGGCGAGTGTTGAAATGAAATACGGTCAAAGTCGAAGGCAGATGAAGCGAAGATTAAATGGAAAAGTGATGTCCCGGGATATACAGGGTGAGGTCGGCTTTAGTGCTAATATTTCAGAGATCTTGGTGAGTCCGAATTGTCACAAATTACGAATTAGCCGGACAGGACAAATGGGCAGTCTTCTCGACAGGTGGGTTCGTATTTAAATATTACCGCCGGACCTCATTAAGCTGGGGCCATATGGTTCTCGACCCTTGCTCCAAAATAAATATCCAAAATGGTCCGGGGCCCGGTGGTAAATTGTAATGGAATCTCTTGGGTCCTAAGAGCTCTGGACTCTTGAGGAAGGCTATTTGTACCGAATCTTGGAATCGTATCGTAGTATGTTCTTATTCCGGCAATCGTATTGTAGATTTCCAATGTTTTATTTTTATGACTTTATCACATTAATTGAATTTAACAATGCATTATTAAATACCCACAAACGTTCTCAGTAGATGTAGGCTAGTTAATCGTTGTGATCTAGGCCTGATCGTGTCGTGAAACTGCATTTGAATTGCAACGATGCAGCTCTTAATCATTTAACTAATGAATTTCCAAACTTATCAACAAAAGTTTGTGTAGTGCCTTTACTGCATTTATGCCCTGAAATTATTACGATTATGAAGCACTCTAACTTCTCCAAAACGTTTGAAAATTGTAATCCAGTTAAAGGACTATATCAACCGAAAACTACCTTCTATCTTTAGCCCTACAACATTTATACTATTAAGTTTTTAAATAAACCGAATGCTAAACGCAAACGTCAAAACTCCAGTTAATTTAAGATGACACGATCAAAAAATTGATGTAAAGTTGGATCTTGTTAACAAGTAAGTCACGAGGACTTCCACTTGTAATCAAGGCCAACTTCTTATCGAGGTTCCAGGTACATTGTTTTGCTAAACTTTGATCAATACATCCAATTAAATTACAAATTCAGAATGTGTCATGTAATTACTACTTTATTATATATTTTATTTAACATGACAAAAGATATTGTCAAAATAACTAATTTATTATTAGTAAGCAAGAAAGAATATTTAATTTAATTTCTTATAATACCAAGTTGGTATAGTCAGGATAATTTCATTTTTTAAGTTGTCAGTCCTGTAAATGCAAGCAGTCCAAAAATCATTCAGTACAGTTCAATCTCTCTCTCACTTTAACTTTAACTGTGCTACTACAACCATGTTGATGCCAGTAAGCATCAGATCAATAATTCATAGTGAAAATTAATATCAAGTGCAGTGCAAGATACATATAAAATAGCATAGCAAGATATATTTAACTAAATTGCCAGTATGCAATATGAAGAGGACCACAAAAAGGGGCCCCTGGACAATAAATTTTTAAATGGAAAATACATGAAGAGGATTAGGCCTAGTGAAAACCAATGCAACATCAAGGTAACAAACATCAGTTAATATTTATACAGTCCACTTATAAACTCTTTCTTTTTGTATATGGTTATTACAGCCAAAACATAACATTTTTGGTCCTTCGAGCCGGATTTTCAGTGTTCAGTCCATGGAATAGTAATGTAAAACATGTGCTTTTCTCCTTTCAATCTCAAACATGAAAGTTTTCATGTTGATTTTCATGTCAAGTTTTGCAAGTGACTTGTGTTCAAGATTTAAGTTGTGATTTAAAACTGAGTTCCAGTGTGAATAAATAGTGACTAACTTTTAATTATATTCATTTCATTTCACTAGCCTACATTAATAGACATTTATTTGAGCCATTGTGTCTCAACTTTATTAAAATTGATGAGTCAACTCATTAAACGACTGCTTGCATATTTTTAAGACATTGACTACAATCTAGCCTATTTTATATACCTCTTTTGAGAAAATACAAGTAATACCTATTCAAAGCCTTAGTAACAACAAACATAAGTTATATAGCTGTTAGAATATAAACTCAAGTTGCCTAGCCTAACTACAACTGAGAAAAAAAAAAGAGAACGGAAGTATTGTATAATCTGAGTTAATCAATTTGATTGAATCTATACCCTATAGCCTATTAAGTTGAGAGGTTTTTATATTTTATTTTGTGATTTATATTCAGCTGAATTGATTATCTTGTAAACCAATTTTATAGTTAGGCTAAGTAGGCCTACACAGTTATGCTGACAGGTTCACAGTTGTAGATGTTCTCTTCTTTATAGGCCTAGCCTATTCACAACTCAATTGATTCTTTTGAAGAGTTTTGTTTATGTTTTTTACTGGCTCCATAGTTGGTTACTGTAAGCCTATTATGTTTTACTAATTGTTAGGCTAACTTAAGATTTTTTGCTGAATTTTAGACTACATTAAGTCTGTGAAATAGGCTTATTGAATTAATAAGTAGGTAGGCCTAATCTTGTGCACTTCATGAACTAGCTTACTCATCATGCCTCCATTGCGGTATACTACATTTCGCAAGCAAGCGGAACTCACTAAGGCTCGTCTATCTCAGCTCGACACTCAAGTCACTGCGCTTCATACAATAGGCCCTGATAATCTTTCAGATGTTCAGATTGAAAAAATTAAGGTTATTAAAACAACTGCTAATAAGAAAAATACTGAATTTGAGGCAATGCTCAACAAACTATTCAATTCGGATCCACTATCTGAAGACATTGATGATGATGAGGTCATTAAACTTCAAGAAAATATCAATGATTTGTATTTGAAAATTCTTAGCGTTTGCGCTGCACTCACTCCGGTTATTGAGCCTAAACTCGATCAGTCTCATTCGAGTAGCATAGGTCCAACCTCACATGACTCTGGAGGTTGTGGTGTTCGGTTACCGAGACTTGCTCTCGGAACCTTTTCAGGTCAACCCGAAAAATGGATTGCTTTCCATAACATTTTTGAAAACTCAGTGCACAAAAATAGTAGCATTACAGAGGTTGAAAAGTTCACTTATCTTTTGTCCTGTCTTAGCGGAGAGCCTTTAAACTTAGTCAAAAGTCTACCTATCACGACTGCCAACTACCATATTGCTTGGCAGCAACTCATGCAACGTTATAACAATTCTAGATTACTCATCACAATTCATGTTAACAACATCTTGGATATGCCGCCAATGCATGGCTGTTCTGTTAAACAACTTAGATCGTTTGCTTCAACATTTCAAGAAAATGTTAATGCGCTTCGTGCTCTGAATCATGACATATGTACGGAAAGCTTGTTTTTGACTCTGCATCTTTTGCGTAAATTCGACCATGATTTTAGAAAAAGGTTCGAGCATAGCCGAAATGAACCGCAACAGGTTCCTTCAATCAAGGAATTTCTGGATTTCATCGAAAAGGAATGTACTCAGCTGGAAGCAGCAAACTTGACCCAAACTTCAGTCAAAAGTGTTTCTGCATATCCCAAGCCTAATTCTAGGCTAAAACCGCCCACTTCCTATCAGGCAACTTCTTCACAGGCTAAAACTGTTCTATTCTCTGCAAACGTTCAGACTTGTAATCATTGCCGTAAAAATGGCCACTTGATATTTAAATGTGATGACTTCCTAGGCCTTACCCCTGAAAAACGATTGACTGCTGCTAGAAATAGCTCATTATGCAATAACTGTTTAAGTAAAGACCATAGCATAAGAAACTGTGCTTCAACACGTAATTGTAGAATTTGCAAGCGACGTCACAACAGTTTGTTACATTTGAGCTCACAAAACAATAATTCAAAACAGGACTGCGATAAGCAGGTTTCTGCAGGCAAAACACATAATCCTTCTCTGGAAAATTCTGATAAAGAGCCACAGACAGCTTTGGTCGGCTTGTCCCACGCCATTGGTAATGTTGTGCTGTTAGGTACTGCACTAGTTCATCTGAGCACTGGTAGTAAAACAATAGTAGCAAGAGCTGTATTGGATAGTGCTGCTCAGCAAACATTTATTACAGAAAATTGTGCTCGTAACCTAGGCCTAGCTTGCAAACTTACTGAAAATCGAAACATCGTTGGTATCTCGTCCACCATTGTTCCTTCTAAAGGCTTGGTACGTGTAAATATAAGCTCTATTAGTGGCCGAGTGCTTGCTAAGCACCATCCTGTGGTTATTCTGGATAATATAACTAGTAACTTGCCCAGATGCCGTGTTTCCAGGGAAGTTAAGGAAATTATGCACAGTCTAGCCCTTGCCGACCCAACGTTTGACGTTCCTTCTCCTGTTGATATGTTACTTGGCGCAGATTTGTTTTCTTACACCCTTAGTGGTAAACCAATACATTTAGGCCCAAATATGCCTACTGCTCTTTGCACCATCTTCGGTTACGTTTTGCTAGGACATGCTCCTGTTCAGTTTGACAGTGAAAGCAATAGTGCCAATACTACAGTGAATCTGTTAACCATATCTGATTTTGACTTGCACAGTGCTGTGCAAAGATTTTGGACAGCGGAAGTAGTACCAGATGCTTCGAAGCTATCCCTATCTGATAATAAGTGTAATGAACATTTTTTGGATACACATTCTCGTCTTCCCTGTGGGAAATACCAAGTTCGTCTGCCATTGAAACAGAACCCCTCAGTTCTAGGCGACTCTACCAAGTCGGCCTACAGTATTTTTAAATCCCTGGAATGTCGTCTTGCTCGCAATACCGAACTCAAGAAGAGCTACACCGAATTTATGGAAGATTACAAAACTTCTGGACATATGGTTCCTTGTTCATTGTTACCTCCAGACACAGTTCATCACTTCCTGCCTCATCATGAAGTGTTCAAGGAAGGAAAAATACGAGTCGTATTCAATGCCTCTTCTGTCACTTCGTCAGGAATTTCTCTCAATAGCATCCTGCATGCGGGACCAAAACTTCACAATGACATCCCTAGCATTATCCTTGGGTTTCGTCGACATCGTATTGTCTTCACATGTGACATTCGACAAATGTTTCGTAACATATGGCTGCATCCTGAAGATAGGAATCTACAGTTAATCTATTGGAGAGACGATCCTACTAAACCAATGCAAGTATTCAAATTGTGTACCGTAACTTATGGCATGGCATCGTCACCTTTCTTAGCCAACCGAGTTGTACAACAACTCATTGAAGATGAAAGTACAAATCACCCATTAGCAGCTGATGCCCTTCGAGGACAAATCTACGTAGATGATGCACTACTTGGATCTGAAACGTTGGAAGAAGGACTACGCCTTCAGCAAGATGTCATTAGTTTAATGGAGAAAGGTGGATTTTCGCTCCGTAAATGGGCTTCAAACAACACTCACATCCTCAACGCCATTCCGTCAGAACACCGAGGGACACCTTCAGAATTCTGCTCCCAAGATCAGCCGCTGTGTAGTGTTCTAGGCCTAAAGTGGCTTCCTGACATTGATGCATTCGCTTATGTAGTTAACTCAACTACAACGCCTTTCACTAAACGTTCAGTGTTATCCACTATTGCTAGATTATATGATCCTCTAGGCTTTCTTACTCCAATCATTTTTTGGGCCAAAGCCTTTATGCAACTCATTTGGACAAAAGGAATCCAGTGGGATGATCCTCTCCCGTCAGAGTTAAAACTGAAATGGTGTCAGTTCACCCAAGAACTAACCTTAGTAGATCAGATATATATTCCTCGATATCTGAGTACTCAATCATGCAGTCAACTACAGGTACACGGATTCTGTGATGCCAGTGAAACTGGTTATTGCGCCTCTGTATATTTAAGAGTTACTAACTCTAGTGACAGTGTTAACGTCCATTTGCTAATGGCTAAGTCTCGAGTTGCACCATTAAAAAGTGTATCTCTACCTGGACTAGAGTTATGTGGTGCTCACATGCTTTCGAAGCTATTAGATTTTGTATGCTCTCAATTATTGAAGCATTTTGAAATCAAACAAGTTTATGCTTGGTGCGATGCTACAATTGTGCTGTCATGGATTAAAACCCCAGCTTATAGGCTCAAAACTTATGTAGCAAATAGGGTTTCCCAAATTCAGGAAACTACTACTCCGATCATTTGGGCACACATTGCCTCACAACAAAACCCTGCCGACTGCGGTTCCAGAGGTCTTATGACGTCTCAGCTCATCAATCACCCTCTTTGGTGGACAGGTCCCTCTTGGCTGAACACTCCTCCACCTCAATGGCCTCAGTCTTCATTTTCAGTTTTACCTACAGACTCGCTACCGGAAATAAAACCTCCTGCGATAGACGCTTTGGTCACTACCAGCACACCAACATGTGAAATTTTGACGAGATACTCATCTTGGACGAAGCTAATTCATATTGTTGCACTTATACTAAGATTTTTTCATCGCTGTAAGGATAAAATGAGTTCGAAGATTTGCTCAAATCAACAGTCAAAGTCACAAAACTTAGGTGATACATCAACCAATATACCTACTACTCTAAAGGAACTTCAAGCAGCTACTACTCGTGTAATTCTGCTAACACAGCAAGAATCATTTGCTTCTGATATTATTAACCTGCAAAACAAGAAACCTCCTTCTAATCATTTGCAGAAACTTGCCCCATTTTTGGATGAAGCTGGACATATACGCCTTGGTGGTCGACTGAAAAATGCTGCAATAAACTTCAACGCAAAACATCCTATCTTGTTGCCTAAAAGCCATTTTGTGACTAGACTTATAATAGATTACTATCATATATTATATTTACATTGTGGTGCACAACAATTACAGTCACTTATAAGTCAAACATATTGGATTCTGTCAGCTCGAAGTGCTATTAAAGCCAGAGTATTTCGTTGTATAAGTTGTTACAGGACCAAACCTAAGCTAACCCCGCCATTCATGGGTGACTTACCAAGTAGTCGAGTTGCTCCCACAAGACCCTTCTCTTCTTCAGCTGTCGATTACGCTGGACCTATTGCCGTAAAGCTACATAACCTCAGAAGACTTCAGAATATTAAAGTGTACATCTGTCTTTTTATCTGTATGTCTACAAAGGCTGTCCACTTGGAAATGGTCACAGATTTGACCTCCGATGCCTTTATTGCTGCTTTGAAAAGGTTCATCTCTCGCCGTGGTATGGTCTCCAACATATATTCTGACAATGGCAAGAACTTTGTTGGTGCTTCTCGTCAACTACAAGAAAGTTTTCAGCAGATAGCGTTGCAATCTCCTACACAACGATTTTTGGAAGATCAGCACATCACTTTTCACTTCATACCTCCTCATGCTCCCCATTTTGGCGGCATCTGGGAACGAGCAGTTCAAAGTGTGAAGAATCATCTGCGACGTGTCATTGGCGACACTTTATTGACCTATGAAGAGTTTAACACACTGCTTTGTCAAGTGGAAGCTATTCTCAACAGCAGACCTCTCACTCCACTGTCTTCGGAACCTGGAGAGTTAGAAGCCCTCACCCCTGGTCACTTTCTTAGTGGTGGACCTCTCGTCTGTTTACCTGAAGCTGATATCTCCGAAATACCTTCCAACCGTTTGAAGAGATGGCAGCAGGTCAAGTCATTTACACAACGCATATGGAAACGCTGGCATAAGGAATACCTGTTTACATTACAGCAGCGCTCAAAGTGGGTCAAGTTTCAGAAGAATTTGGAAGTCAATGATCTTGTTCTAATTCACGAAGACAACTTACCCCCTCTACAATGGAGACTCTGACGCATCATCAAGGTCTTCCCTGGAAATGACAACATTGTTCGAGTTGCCGAAGTGGTTACAAAATCAGGACGCTTCACTCGCCCTGTTACAAAGCTCTCTCCACTTCCCATGGATTAAGCAATCATTAGTATCATTAGGCTAGTTTAAGTTTTCCCACACAGTGTCATTGCATTTTGTTTTTATTTTTTGAAGTCATTGATTTGAATTTTACAGATGAGTATGATTTATTTTGTTACCAAGTTTGTTGAACCTAGGGGTTCAAGGGGGCCGAGATGTCATGTAATTACTACTTTATTATATATTTTATTTAACATGACAAAAGATATTGTCAAAATAACTAATTTATTATTAGTAAGCAAGAAAGAATATTTAATTTAATTTCTTATAATACCAAGTTGGTATAGTCAGGATAATTTCATTTTTTAAGTTGTCAGTCCTGTAAATGCAAGCAGTCCAAAAATCATTCAGTACAGTTCAATCTCTCTCTCACTTTAACTTTAACTGTGCTACTACAACCATGTTGATGCCAGTAAGCATCAGATCAATAATTCATAGTGAAAATTAATATCAAGTGCAGTGCAAGATACATATAAAATAGCATAGCAAGATATATTTAACTAAATTGCCAGTATGCAATATGAAGAGGACCACAAAAAGGGGCCCCTGGACAATAAATTTTTAAATGGAAAATACATGAAGAGGATTAGGCCTAGTGAAAACCAATGCAACATCAAGGTAACAAACATCAGTTAATATTTATACAGTCCACTTATAAACTCTTTCTTTTTGTATATGGTTATTACAGCCAAAACATAACAGAATGTAACATCGGTATAATCAAAACGCTATACAGTAGCCAAGTACTTTTTACTTTTTACACGCCGGGTGGTCGTGCTACTGACTTATAGGCTGTTTAATTACCTACTATAGTCGCGCCACTGTCGACACGCGAGCAGACGAGCTCTCCTAAATAGGAGCTCAAGCTCTCGTGCTAGTTACAGTTTTTGCCGTTCGGAATGAGCCAATTCCATTTATGCTTGAAGCTTTGAAGTTCTCCAGTTTCCCGCGACACGCTATACGGTTAGGTGCTCATTAGTACAGAGAGGGTATGGAAGATAATTTTGAGTGTAGTGAAAAAGAATCGTTTATTATGTTAGTAGTGGCGAACTACCGGTTTAAAGTCACTTGGGGCACGTTTTCCCATAAGAAATAACATGGGATCATTTTTTGGCCACTAAAACCAAAAATCCTGATCTTTGTTTAAATATCCCTATATAATTGTCAAACCTTATTTCTTACTTATTCCCCATAAATATATTTGATATTAAGCTAAAAAAGCTATTTCTTACATTTATTGACCCTTACAAGTGTAAATGTAGAGTAGTGGCGAACCCACAATATGACCTCACTTCCGGCATTTTTTGGCCCAGAACTTTTAAAATTTTTGGCGAAAAAAATGTCCGAAGCCCCAGGAGCTTTTTTTGGCCACTTTTCTTAAGGACCCAGCTCTCGACCTATACACCCATATATAAATTTTTTACTTTTTTAATACTGAAAAACACGTCTGGAAATGGTGAGCTTTTTTTGACCACTTTTTTAAAAATCCAGCTCTCGACCAATACAAGCCTATATAAATGATCAATACCATTGTATAACTTCATTACTATTTCAAATCCACATCCATTCACAGGTATATTCTCAAAATCGATCGAGGTTTGTACGCGAACTCGTGCGCGCTCCCGGCTCACGGCGTGCTCCCTTGGACATCCTTAGTGGAAATCCATGAATTCTGGCTACTTGGGAACCCAAGCCATTTGACATATAATAAATCACCTTTTCTCCTAATAACCTTTTCTATCAAATACATGTCTTTATATTTGGTCTTTAACAATTCCTCTGTATAGAAGCCTCCCCTGATTATATTACCATTTTCATCTTTCAAGATATAAGTCACAGGCTTTGTATTCTTTACTTCTGCTATTGTAAATAGCTCCCCTGTCCAATTCGGAGTATATCCTTTACTAAAAACATGTTTATACTTGGAAATCCTCACACTATCACCCACCTTATATCTTGGCTTTTTAACTTGCACTACTTTAGAAGTCAACCTCTCATGCACATATTTACTGTTTTTAATATTCACTTGTTTAGGCTTCATTCCTATGGATCTATGCACCTTATTATTATATTTTCGAATTAACTTTGGAAGTAAATCCAACCATTTATAACTTCCCTGAGCACTAAATTCCCTATATAACCAATTCTTTAAAGTTCTCTGAAACCTCTCCACAATTGCAGCCTTAGTTGTAGAAAACGTGTGATAGTGATTAATATTTAATTTTTTCATTAGTTTGTTAAAATATTGATTAAAAAATTCTTTTCCATTGTCAGATTGAATGTTTTTAACCCCCTTTGGTAGAATGGTTTTAATGGCTTCTGTAACCACCAACCCTGTCTTATTCTTTAGTGGAGCAGCATAAGCTTTTTTAGAAAATGTATCTATTAAAGTTAAAATATATTTATTGCCAGAATTCTCTCTAGCATAGTTTTGCATATCAATTAAATCTATTTGTACAGTTTCGTTTATACCTAATACTTTAAAAGACCTTCTAATGAAATTCTTTCTTGCAGGCTTATGAAGTTCGTATGCAATTTCATTCATTTTTTATAACATCACTCTTTCCTTGTACTGTAAATATATTACCATTAGCCCCAATCAATAGATTATCTTCCATTCTTTTAAATACATAGTTTTCTGGTATATATGGTCTATTATCTATATACTTAAATCCGCTCAAAGATGTAGGGTCGGCAACTAATAAATCAGGATTGTATTCCATCAAATTAAATTTTCTTCCTGCATATACAAATTTTGATCCATCATAATACATAGCTTGTGACATTAAACAAATATCATCTAAATATTCCCCCTTTGGCAGATTCCTTATAAATTGTTTTTTGGCATCCCAACATTTTTCTTTTTTATCAAAAGTTATAGTCTGTTCTTTTGTAACACAGTCAGTGTCATCAATGGCAGGTTTAACACATACTAACCTTTTATTATTAAAATCCCAATAGCCTGCTTCCATTTTTGGAACTTGTGAAACATTCACAGCATCCTTACTATCTGTACCTTCTATCAAATTGCTAAGTTTCTGTTTCTTAGCATTCCAAACACCATTCTCTGATTCTAAAAATTCATAATTATTATCATCTTGAACAAATTTACCATCTTCTTTTCGTATTAAAGTCTGTTGTAAAGTGGGCACATCATTTAAACTTTCACCCTTTTCTACATTAGTAATTTTCCGTTTCTTAGCATTCCAAACACCATTCTCTGATTCTAAAAATTCATAATTTTTATTGTCTTGTACAAATTTACCATCTGTTCGTATTAAAGTCTGTTGTAAAGTGGGCACATCATCTAAACTTTCACCCTTTTCCACATTAGTAATTTTCTGTTTTTTAGCATTCCAATTTTTATTCTTAGATTCTAAAAACTCATATTTAGTTTTACCTTGTAAAAATACATCACCTTTTCTAGTTAATGTCTGACCCAAAGTTGATACATCATCTACAAACTCCCCATCTTTAACATTACCAATTTTACGGTTTAAACAATTCCAACTATCGTCTTGTAAATTTAAAGTAGGTTCATTACTAGCCCTGGGTTCTGTAGGCTTATTATATGGATTATATAAACGATAAAATTTATCTATAAACATATTTTTATTTAATAAATAATTCCACTTTCTCTTAATTCCTCAATAATGGAATCTATTTCATTATCCACTCCTGAGTTACCGGCTTGGCGACTTAGCCAAAGAAGTCTTAACCTATCTACAAGCTCATTAGGATCATCCCAATAAATATAGTCTATTTTATTACCAGTCACTTGTCTCAAACCTTCACCAACAGATTTAAAAAGAGGTTTAATTATATTAAGATATTTAGTATGTCTATTACTTGAAATTGGTGCACCATCTTTGTAACTCTTTAAATGTCCATTTGTGGCTTCCAAAATCTCTTTATAATTTTGCAAATCAACCTGAGTATAATCCTCAGGTTCTTTTAAAGTTAACAACTGCCACAAGCCTTTTGTCCCCTTGTAGGTTTTATTTGCAACTGTGACATCATCATTGGCAATATCAACTTCCTTATTTCCAATAAAAAATTTATTTGCTTCTCGTCTAATACCATATGTAGTGTCTGTCATACTACTTTTACTGAGGTAATTTCCTAAATAGTCTGATGCTAAAAGACCAAAATCTAATTTCTGTGGAGTGGATTGCTGTAATGGTTGTAATGGTTGTAATCTTGGTATCATTGATATTCTAGATGGAGTCATTGGGAGTATCTCCATTTGAGGCCTCTCTGTTTTGCCAATAGCTGTGATTTTTTTTAATTCTTGTAATGGCTCTATTAAAGGTTGGAATGTTTGGAACCTCTCTTCAGCCTCTAGAAACTTGCCACGTTTTAAAGCTCTATATTTCTCTCGTATTTGATTTGCAGAGTCAACCAATTCTTGTTGAATGTTTTTCATCTTTTATTTACATTTTATTTATCTCATTTGACAAAGGATTGTACTCAAACACTTTATCATGTATTATCAAACAATATGCAGATGTATTTGCTGGCACATTGTCTGCAGTTTCAATCTCTAATTTAATATCAACAATTCCTTCCTTCACTGTTTCGTTCTGTCTAGAACAGTCTATTACAATTAGTGGATATTTCTTCATAAACTCAGCCCTACTAATCATAGGATCTGGGATAGTATTATAGTAAGTCTCTCTAAACCTCATAAACATCTCATAAGCTTTAGAGACATCTCCATTTTCAAAGTCGAGATTTAAATCACTATAAGGATAATATTCAGAGTTTAGAAATACTTTGAGATTTTTTAACTTACAGTGATCAAATTCATCAGTTCTTTTTCGTGCACTATTATCCCTAGCTGTTTGGAAACCAAATATAATATACCTAGGCTTCTCCAAACT